GAAGTCCGCCCGCCCGCCCGCCGCGCGGCAGTCCAGCGGACGCCCGGTAGAAGCCGGCGGAAGGCTCTCGGGCAGCCGCCCGGCCAGCATGGGGCCCGAGACGGGGCAAGGTGGTCCAAGATAGCCTTCCCCGTCTTGCACCATCTTGCCCATCTTGGGAGGCTATCTTGGAAGGCTATCTTGGAAGGCTATCTTTTCTAGAATCTTTCTCGGGCCCAATTCGAATCTTGGCTATCTTGGGCTGTCTTGTTTGTGGTCCAAGATTCGAAGAAGAAAGCGCGCCATAAACATACACTTTTGGCGCTCTCGGATCCGCGCTGGGCCCGCCCCCCTCAGCGGCGCCTCTGGCGCCGCCCCTGGCGCGCTCCGCGCGCCGGGGAGGGGGGTCCAGCGCAGATCCAAGAAATCCGCTCGGAGCACTAAAAGTTAATGTTTATGGCGGCTTGTGTTCCTCTGAAGATAGCCTTCTGGCGGAAGTCGGCGGAAGCGAAACAGCGGCGGAAACGGCGGCGGGTTCCGGCGGAAGGCCGGCGGAAGGCGGCGGAAGTACAAGGGAGACGTTAATATTTGTGGATTCGAGGTTTTTGATTCGGCCGTATGATCCAAGAGGCATCCAAAAGGACCAAGTTAGGGCGCTTCAGCAAGCGAAAAGCATCGACTTGCCTTGGTCTTTTGAAGGATTTCCGCGTTCCCGCACCATCGGGCTTCTCATAGCCCCAGACGGCCCCAGAGACCTCCGAAAAAGTCCCGAGACGGCCCACGACGCCCTTAGAAGGCCCCAAGCCAACCCAAGAGGGGCCGAAGACGGCCCGACACTCCCCCGAAGCGCCCCAGCCAAAGAGACCAGACGGCCCTGGAGAGCCCCGAGAAGGCCCCAAGACGGCCCAGGCAGAGGCCGCCTAGACGGCCTCCGAAGTCGCCAGACGGCCCAAGAGCGCGCTGAGACTGCCCTGAGACTGGTGGTGCTCGCAGGCTGTTGTGCTGCTCAGAGGCGAATTGCTGGCGTTCGTCGAGGTACTGCCGTGGTCGCAAGTGATTGTAGTGATTGCAGGGTTGCGGCAACCGGAGGTTGGGGGGTGAGATCGCGGTGTAACGCAGAGCCACCGGCCGGGAAATTTGTTCGGTTTCGTGCTCGTGTCTTGCGTGCGGGCGAGGCGAAGCTGCGTGGGCGCGCGAGAGGACTGCCCCGCCGTCGTTAGGGTGATTCGGATGCAGTGGACGGCCCCTCCGCCCCCGCGGTGGCCTTGGGTGTCCCGCCGTGGTGTCCTGTGGTGTCCAGTTGGTGTCCTGTTGGTGTCCCGTGAGTGTCCTGTCGGTGTTCCGTCGGCGGTGGGTGGGCGGTGGCCGGGGGTGTTCCGCCTTGGTATCGATCGTGAAGTCGATAGTGAGATCGATAAGGAGATCGCTAGATGGGATGGCTAGTGAGATCAACAGTGGGATCGGCAGTGAGGTTGACTGTAACATTGGTTGTGGGATCGATCGGGAGATCGATCGAGGCATCGATAACGAGATCGCTAGTTGGATCGATTGTGGGATCGATCGCTGAATAGTTTGGTGCTAAGACTGGCAGCGAGGTCGATGGTGTGATCGGTCAAGTGGGATCGAAAGCGGAGGCGCTAGTGACACTACATCGCAGCGCAACATTATTACGCGTCGTCGATAACTCGAGGGCGCGTCACCAGCATCGTCATCACACCCATCGCATTTGCCAGCAGTTGGTTCTTTGCCCCCCTGCCCCCAACCTCCTGATCACCTGAGGGGTGGTCGCATAGGTATGCGATGAAGATATGTGATACTCGGAGGCTGTTGTTGTACTTGCAGGGTCCAGGTTCCCTCCCCATTTGACGATCGCAAGAGCACTGCTGGTGCCAATAAGCGCCATGCCGCGCTTGCATTCAAGTGAAGTGCTGGCAGGGTCTTGCATGATGCAGTGCATGTTTGTTATGCTCGCAGGCTATATATGGTACTGGCAGGGTCTGGCGTGGCGTACTGTCGTGCATGCATGTGGTGCTCGTAGAGCTTTTGACTCAAGCCACCTGGGTGTCATGTGCTGTTTTTGCCCTGACGACCTTCTCTGTAGTTGCAGGGCTTCGCGATGGACTTCGTGGCGACCCCGTTTCGCAAGAGGGAGGCTGCCGAGTGTCCGCGCGTCACTCCGGTCAAGCGCGCCAACATCTCCAGCAGGCGGGCCGATATACAGAACCCTGACAAAAGCAGTGTCGTCTCCTCCCTCCGTGGGCGCTCTCTGGTAGGTATCGACGCGCTGTCCACGGCACAGGTCGGCGAGGTGCTGAAGACGGCGGGGCAGATGCGGAAGCTGCTGGAGGCGCGAGGCTGCGATGAGTCTCTGAAGGGCAAGGTGCTCGCGACCATCTTCTGCGAGCAGCCGGATCGTGCCAGCTGCTCGTTCCAGGCGGCCATGCTCCGGCTGGGGGGTGCCGTTCTCACGGTGGACGCGTCCGGCTCCGCTTCGGCCGAGGGCGAGGCGCTCGAAGACGCC